TGACCAATAACATACCAACGAAGTACTCTATCACGCTATTCATAAATATCTCTACTACACTCTGGGATATTTTGGCAAACGGTGATCCTCCGGTTTCAAGAGACGTTTGTTGTCAATGATGCCGATTATTCTGATAAAACTGAAGGACCAGTGACATTGACAAAGTATGACTTGGCTATTGACTAACGACTCTTTCAAAGTCTGCACGCCCGATGGCTGAAATCGCCCATTTGATAATTTGAAAAGCCTCAGAAAGTGAAGGTGCGGGAAACGCTTTGGATAACGTACCAATCATGTATGAATAGACGTAGAACCTGAAATTCAGATATAGCAAACCACATAGGAGCTGTTTAAAAAGGTACGTAGCAGTCATGACAGAATCGAACTCACGTTTCTATTGGCCAATTTCGCGTTATGATTGACGGCAATGAAAGACTTCTTAGCAAATAATCAAAAGACTGTCAAACCAAACAAGAGTGCATGCAACCAGGTGCCTTTACACTTTGCGCATTCGATAAACTAAAGTTCGTAGGGCTGCGGCACAGGTAGTGACCCTGCGAAAGATAGCGCACGGAAATTGTTTAGAGGGAGATTCAGCTATGACTACCAAGCACTAAATGCATTTTAGCTGATGAAACGCCTTTTATGCTAATGAAGAGCCAGAAAATGAGGTGGCAGCCTGTTTCCGGGATTCTTCAAGTCCTGAGAATCTTTTAGAAGTCCGAATTTATATCAGAAGCAATAACTAAACCTCAATCAACGCACATGTTGGTGTTGGACTTGAGATTGATGTCTCCTTTTCTGTTTCTTTATTTCACAGCCTATGCCCTGGAGAAACCTCACGGTTGATATGTTCAAATGAGTTGCTTGGTGCTCGTAGATGATCTCGTCGACTTATTCGTTAGAAACCTTTCACAGCACTTTGATGCTGAGTGGGATGAGAAAGAAATAGAAATGTCTGACCAAAATCAAGACTTTTATTTCCAAGAAATGCTATTTGACGCAGAACGTCAGATAAGTGAAGTATATGGCTTAGTTTAAGTACCTCTGAGTAGCGTCTTCAGTAACAGAAGACGTGAAAATAGACATGTGAATACTTTTTTAGTGAGGAAGCTAAACCAAGCAAATGGGCCAAGGATATATTAAAGAAAAAACAAGTAGCCTTCTCCACATCAGATTTAACATTTAGCATGAGAATACGCTGCGTTTAACTTCTTCAAGTGCTCCTACATCGTATTTTTCTCAGTATCCATGTGTTTGTCTTGTTTACTCCAAGATTCTTTCATCACTTCACGTGAGCCTGCGCACTATGTACTTTAAAGGCTGAATGATAGAGTGAAACTATCATACTGCTTTAAATAAATAAACTACTTTCTGTTATAATTTCAAATATGCTCTCCTTCAGAGCTCCATTTCAACTGAGGGCCCGATTACTATTTCTTTCAGTAAAAGGCTTTTACGAGCTGCTTCTTTTAACCGTGAGCCGCTATCCCAGCAGTGCAACGCAACGCCTAGTTCGAAATTTCTTTTAACACAATTTTGTAAGCTACAAAACATAAAAAATTAAATTCAGGATCGTCCAGTGATTTTATTTCATGCTGCATAATTTATTTGGATTAATAGTATTCTTGCTTTCTGGATTTAAACTTTTTCCTTAGCCAGGAATATTTCGAACATTAGCATAAAAACACTTAAAAGCTTAAGAAATTTTCAGAACTCTAGAATTCCTTTTTTTAGAAGCAAGCACAATTAAAATAATATTTCTTGTCTGGAAGTTCAGCGTGAACCTATAATTTTAACCTCAACACCTATTCACGCTGATACAATGTTATGATTTGAAGTATGAAGTCTTTAAACAGAAGACTTCCAAATACACAGGTTATCGGCATAAAGATGAATCGATCAAATTTATTTTGAGCCTACATTTTGGAAAAAAACAAATGAAAGGATGGAACCATTGGATTTCCGCACTTCTTTACACTTTCATGACGGACCATTCTGGCACCCTACTTTTTCAGCTTTATGATATCCGATGATCTCCATATCTATGCAATCAACCATGAACGTCTTTTTTAAAGGCAGATTCTACAGCTACATAGAAAGTACAACGTATTGTCTCCTGTTTTTCTTTGCTACAGAATAATGTTTATTTATCGAACTGTGAAGGAAGAGAGGCAAGTGACTCTGATCGGAGCGTAAGCCCGGGATATCTCAGCTAATTAAGCTCTACTAACTGAACAGCTCCGTCTCACGTAACATGTGGTAAATCCTTTGCTCAATGGAATACGTGGCTTAGACAAAGACAGACCTCCGCGGGAATTGAACTGCGCATTTCTGAAATTCAAAGTCGATCTTTCACGCACTGTAAGACTGTACTACTACGCCACTGTGCCGACGTCATGGCACTAAAATATTGTCATCGTGAAATGGCTTCACAAAGTTTGGCAAATTTATGTATTTCACATCCCGAAAATTTGTTCACTGTAGCTTCTACGCTGCTAAATGAAATTTTCGAGTATTCGAATATTTTCATTTGCAAATGCAAAACTGTTTAATTTCAGCTCGTACATCCAATCAGTATGTGACGTTGGAGTGATTTGCATCAATCTCCAAAACAGACTAACCGAAAAGTAGCTTCTCAAGAAAAACGTTATCTACCAAAGATACGCTTACTTGTACTTCAGGATTTATAATAGACACAAAAACATTCGAAATCCGTTCTAAAAGAAGAACGTTCCCAAAGGACATCCAGTATCAAATACAACTCACAGTAAACATACATAATCAGACAAAGTGATGAGAATATCTGAACCGAAATTTGCCATTTGATTATTTCCGTGCGGAATACTGAAGGAAGGTACAAAGATTCGCAGATAACACATGAATGCATTATTACAGGAAAGAGTTATCAATTCAAATGCTTCGAGTTTGAACAATTTCAACAAGGGAAGATGCATTCTAAATTTAGTCAAGTCTCAGATATCTGGGGTGGTCTATCAGACACTTGGTTAAGTAAACCAAAAGACCGTTCATCAAAAGTCTTTCATGCAATATCTTAATCTGGAATGTGTTTCTCTATATAATTAAAGCTCTGTCTTACAGTCACGGAAAGTGGCAGCTTTTGCAATAATATCCTAAACCTTATTTCTGATTAAAACGAAGTTCTGGCAATAGGATGGCTCAACTTGGAAAGATGGCTGACGGAGAGCAACGTTATTTCGCATATCAGCTGACGTCATGCTTACAAAAACATAGATATATAATAAGAACGTCGTATAGAACACGAATGAAACTGAGGTAGAGCAAGCTTCACTGAGGAACATTTCCTTATAGACAAGCCTCCTACACCAAAGGTGCTTACTAAACAACTATGTATTAAGTGAGCATCATAAAGGGGACGGTCGATAACTGCGTGCGAAAACGAAACAGGGCAACGGAAGTCGTGAATCTGTTGGCCGACCTATTTGGCAAAGGTATTAAACGAACCGATTGTGTTTCTGGTTTGGGCCACCGTCAGTTTTAGCAGGGGTGACACAACTTCATGCGTCATTACAACACAAAATGTTGCAACCGGCACGATTCGTCTTTGAACCTCTTCCGGTCTGCATGATTCAGTCGGTTTCTGATTTGAATGAGAAGCAGTGGACTCCAGTGTATCGGATCACGTTTTTAAATCTTGAGATATTTTCGAACGTCGGATGCACTTTTGGATTGCACGATCATAAAAGTAAATCAAACGTGCAATGATTCGTCATCATGAGTAAAATTGCGTCACTGGAAGAAGTAGTTTCCAGATATTCATCTACAGTTTGCTATGGTTTAAAATTGATTCACGTCATGATGCAACACTGTAAAATTTACTACATACGTTCTAGTTTACCTGATACAGCAATGGGCATAATTGAAACGATAGATCCTGGGTCTCTACAATAAATAGTATCGAGATAGCAGATTCTGGACAGTTATTCTCACCAGTTATCCAATGAGAAGTCTTTTACTTTTCCCCGTCATTAATTTCCTTATTTTTTTCTCCTTCTGCCCCAATTTCCATCCATGCATGTCACGCGCATTAGTATTTCGTATTTATGCCTACTGAAACGTGATTGTAGCTAAATGATGCTTTTCTTCATATTACGGGACAGCACTCTACTAGCTTTTTCGAGCCTACCTTATGATCTCTTTCCCGGTGCTTCAACATTTGCAACTTCTTCCCTTTTCAGCATAATTTGTCTCTGTTAGGCCATTATCCAAATGATCTCCGTCGATTTTCCTTGCGCGTACCCAACGAGTTAACATTTCTTCATTTTTGTCATCTCATTTAACCTTCTCATCTCTGACGTCATTTTTACAGCTATGATATTTGCCGCTAGTAGCACTTGAACTTACCTAGCTTTGATATTTGAATATACAGACTCATTTATCCGTACGACTGTTGGATATCGTATGTGCAATTCCCCTATGATGAATGAAGATGTTCGTGTCATGTGTACTACTATTGAAGCATTTGACTTGGATATTGAACTGATTGCCTTGTCACTTTCATACTGATTTCTTGTCACTTTTAGCATAATTCCCTTTAGAAATTGAAATTCCGTTTGTTTTCCAGCTGGGTATTCCCTAGTTTTAGCATTTCTTACGTTACTGGATTTTTTCCTAATGCTGATTTTAAATCGAGTAAAAACGTAGGAGGGCTGCTACCTGACCGGACGTCATTCTTATAATTATTACAGTACTACTATGACTGGACTTTCCAAAACGAGCATGCGATAATGTCTGCACTTACAAGAAACAGATGCAAGAAAGACCATCCTTACGATTAAGCTTGAGCTCTGTTTGCCTATGGGGTCGATTTCGAGAACCGTTGGCAGATGTTAAGCGGCATTGCATTTTCTAACATTCATAAGAAGACAGCATATACAGCGTTTCGAAAGAGTCCTCCTCATCGTCGTTAAGAAGTAGGTTTATAATTAGGCAGTGTTGGCTGACTTTCATAATTAAAGCTAAGGCGATGCGATCGAAATTAGAAAGATAATGACGTTTACCTCATAGAATGGAGCAGAAAATGCGACTTCGTTCTCGGCGACGGTGATTGCAATGCCAGTAAGGGCGAAACCAAGGCAAAAGTCAGTGATTTTAATACGTCTGAAAAATAGAATTTTTCGCCGTTTGAGTCTCTCTGACCAGTTGGTTTGCAGAGAGTCAGAAATGCAATAGCCACACTTTTTCTTAGGCAGCTTAGGTGACTCTACCGGCGACGATATTTGCAAGAGTTCTTCGCGTTCGTTCTGCACTACTATTTTGTGAGTTGACACGACATTTGTCACTTTGATTGGCCTTTTGAGGAATGCTTTCATCGGCTGACCACCAACGATGCGGATAAATTCATTGCTGACCTGGTAAAGCGGATTTTTGTCTTCTTGTGAGGCCTGTCGCCCGGCCGCAACGTTGGTAGCCGACGACGAAATTACGTCTGGATTGCTTTTGCTATCAGCCAGGTGACCAAACGGTAGCGTCACTGCATCAGAAGCGCACTTTTGATTGGCCGAGTTGACTAAGTAGTGGCAAAGGCTGTGACAGCGAATTGACCGGGTTGCTTTCAGAGTAGGATCTGAGTTTTCTAAAATATGCACGTTCTTTAAATACTTCACTCAGAAATCTATTCGTGAGTTATTGCCATGATTCATGCTGGTCGATTTGGCCCCTGCAAAAATTTGGCGGCACTTATGGGCATTCGGGCCGCCGTCCTTGGCCACCTTCTTATCCACGTGGTCCATAGGATTTTCTTGCGCGTCGTCCCTGCGAAGTTCAGCACTCATTTGCTTTCACGGAATACGCCACGCGTTGTTCATCGTCGTCTGAAAGGCAAGCAAATCATATTAGGCGATCATTGAACTGAACTGAATATCGAATAGTTAGTCATTCCTGTCACTTCACTTTTAGAGCCTCAATCTTTGCTAATCTGCATATTCACTCTTTGGAATGTAAGGTTATTTGAAGCATTTCACGGAGGCGAACAATCCGTCCAATCCTTAATAAGCAAACGACAAACGAGCGCCCACCTTTAACCTGCTACGATCAGCCGCGAGTCAAGCAGGTGGTGCACTGGCAACATTAATTTTACCAAATGCATTATAACATGAAGCAATTTACACGATAATATATGCATGCAGCCTGAGTCCAATGTGAGCAGCTAACCAGGCGAATAAGTAATAAATAATCCGCTATCGGCGACAAATCCACGACTTGCAGGTGAACCGGTTTTGCAGTAGCAGGCATTGCGCAAATGACGTTTAATCACATCTACCGCCGATATCTTGCCGTCAAATGAAAGTAATCAAAATTCATAGAACGTGCAAAGTGAGAGAGCTAGCATGCTGTGCAAAGATATCAACTTTCCATCAAAATAAATGATCGAGTAGCGTTGGATCGCGAATCACTATGGATGTACGAAAAATAAAACGACTTTTGCCATAGCCACATAGCTAATTCGAAAGAGTGATAGGAGGTGTGTAGCAGTGACATATTCCTTGGCCATCCTATGTAACTGCTAGAATAGGACCTAATTATACATGAAAATGATCATTTACTCTAAAACCGAACGGACTTGCAATGATACCGCCTGAATGCAGTGTGAAGGCATGGTGGCGTTGTTGATTTATCATCCGCAATATACAACGAAGCCGAATACTGAGTGCTAGATTGCGTTCAAATTATCAGTGGGGAATTTCATCATGTGTTAATGAATGAAAATTTATTGTATGAGCAGGTTCGCCCATGAATTGACCGTCCGACTTTACGAAATTTTCTAAAATTATGCATAGCCAACAAAATGAGTTATGTTTCTTCAAAGGAGTATTAAACTAATCTATTTCCATTGTTGCTGATCTACAGCGTATTTTTAAAAGGAACTTATTAGGAAAGACTAATCGCGGAAAATCTAGACTAGGCAATATAGCTAGATTAGACTAGACTGTATACCTTCAAATATCAGTTACACATAACATAGGAATATGTCCTAAGAAAGCCACAGGAAAAACAGCTCCACAACAAAAGTATGATCGACTGCATTGTTAATAGATTAAATGACTATAGAATATCTGCAGATGCGAGGAGTGCTACGTAAAACCGATATTAGGCAAGGCCAACGTTGGTCATTGTGTCATTGCCATCAAAGGCTAACAGAGCTTGAACAGCGCAGCAACTCAGATATATAATACCTTGCCTTTAGAAATGGTATCTTAGATAGATATTAGGCAACGTTCACTGCTGCGGAAAACGTCATATTCCTCGTCGCCCGCCGGTCTGCCTCAAAGAGATATTTCAATGTCTGGTATTGTCTTCCAACGCGTCTACGGCTATTTGGTGACTACGATATGAGAAAAGTTTAGAAAATAACTCCATTCTCTTTTGGGCCGCTTTATCACACCAGGTCAGCGCCGGTCTCGGAGTACGCCTAATGGCTATCTGATACTGCTAGTCGTCAGCACCCGCTCGTCTTCACCAACTCGCTTATAGAATACCTCTTAGACAGCATTATGGAAGCTGTCTAGACCAGCGACATGACGCTTAAGGACCACAGATGCACCGAGATTTTAAAGGAGCAATGTACATAGGCTGCTTTAAAGATGACGATGGTTGGCGTCCTTCTCATAGTTCGATCCTTCCATATGCCACACAGCGTTCCGAAACTCGCCGATGCTAGCCCAGTTCGCTGGTCCACTTCAGAATCAATGTCGCTATTGTTGGCTGACGCAGTTCAAATGGACCTGAAATGTTCCATCTCTTTCATCGTAATGCTGTTCCTTGATATCCCTGAGCTGCCATCCGGGGTGGTGGATAATCGAGTAATTTATATCTGAAGCAACTGAATCCCAACCAGATTTTCTTTTTGCATGGTGAATTGGTAAGAAGGAAAATGAACCTAAGAAAGACTCATGTCCTGTTTAACAAATTCGTGACCCTCCGACTTCCTGAGGTTAATGGACTTAAGCTTAGAAAGGTACAAAAATATGTCCATCCATATGTCCAACTCATCTATGAAACGAAGAATTGAACGTGAAATCAGCAGAAACATAAAAATGGCATCTAGCAGTTTCTGAAGACTGAAAATGTTCCCAATTGGCAAATAAACATTGTCCTTGAAACGCAAAGTATTTCATGCGCGTTTGCTCCCAGTGCTAACTTACGGCAGCCAAAAGTGGAAACCCTAGGCGTTAAGTATAATCACAAACTGCCGACTATGCAACAACAGTATATTGGAAATGTCTATTGGAAAGAACAAAAGAACGAGAAGAGAAAGAATGAACGGACGAGGGCGCAAACAAGAGACTGCGATCTCATGGCTTAAGTGAACAAATGGATGAAAAGGAAAGTTCGCAACCTCTGAAGTGTCAGTCTTTCTTGCAGGTTCATAGTGGGACTCTTCTGGCGCCATTTCTTTCATAATTCCGATCACCGTATGCTTGCGATCAGCCAGAAGTGCCTTAATTACAGGCCGAGTTTATAACCATATCGCAACCGAAGCCTGTAGTCCCTTGTCCCTTGTTTTCTTCCCGCAGAGTGCGACTCATTTATGAATCTTAGGAGGAAAAAGACGAGTGGGGCCTGAACGCGGGAACTCTCGGTTATGAGTTCGACGCTTTGCCGACTGAGCAACCCCGTTCTGAAGCAATGTGCGGTCAATTCCTTGTTCAAGGGAATTTGTGAGCAGGTAAAGACTGCCCTTGAGCGGAATCGAATCCAGTGTTTCCACAGTTCTAAGCAGACCTCTTTGGCACTGAGCCTCTACGGTGAGTGAAGAAGTAGAAATGACAATGGGCAAAACACGTTGCACGAAGAATCGACCAAAGAGGCATTAGAATGGGTTCCAAGAAAAGGCAGACAGCCTGTGGGAAGAATCATATCGATGGCTGGATAAGCTAATGAGTTTCTCTGGATCAATAATGATAGAAACGGCGTAAAACGGAAATTAATGACAAAGTCTTGGAGAAGCCTTCATGCAGCAGTAGATCAAAAAATTGATGATGATAGTGTTCGATAACATAAAACAATCTCCGTTAATAAATTCTAGCAGTTAAATCTTGTACAATGCAAAGTTAAATTTACATATTTCTATTGACAGTGGCAAATTCTTCTTGTTTCATCAACTCAAAATTGAGTTACCTACAACACCACAGTTATGTAACGAACTCCAGAAAAATTTTTTGGAAGATGCAAATCATTTTAACGTAACTTCTGCAATGCTTAATGCAACCAGAGTCGTAAGGCAGCATCTGTATCGACGCAGTTTTGATCTTTTTCTAGTGAAGACTACAGACAGCAAATAACCAGTTCTACACCCCCCCCCACCCACGTAGAGAGGGAATAAAATATATGCAACGGGTTGAATGAGTTTTCCGTGCAGAATTTCCTAGATGCTGGTGATAACTGACTACTGCAACATATTTTTTCCCTAATTCTTTATGCATTATTCGGCATCGTACCAGTATTCTTTCCATTTAACAAATGATCATTTTTTAAGAGTCTACGGCGGCATGTCCGAAAGATTATGCTCTCTTTAGGAATTAACGCAGACGGCAGTGGTCAATCGTTTCGTCTGATATAAAAATCAAGTAACGGCGAACTATTTTTAGATGCTGCGATAGAAGTGCAAATCTGTCATAAAGATCAAACTGATTTTGTAATGAGGAATAGCACAAATGGGTTTACATGTCTGTGAACATAAAAATACCTCCCTAAGATGGCGTACTTTCTCATATTTAGAGGTAAGTGTCAAACGCCGGCCTGAATGCTTCCTTCTTAAGTCAGAAATGTGCCATGTTGATGCGTTTTCACCTTACTGTTAAAAACTTACTCGACTTACTCATCGGGCACAGTGCTGACCTTGGTAATGGCGAAAGTCATTCACGAGAGAACGCGCAGTTTAATAAATCCCATAAATTATGCTGCTGACCAATAGTAAGCAGATTATGTGTTCTGGTGAATAAAATGGGAAGCGGACTTCCTCACCTAACTTATTCAATATACAACAAACTGCAAAATTAACCAGCTTTTCCTTAATGGCCAGAAGTCAAATTTTATGAGGAACCTGTGTTGCACAGCAGATTTGGACATGAAGGAGAAAAGTAAAACGGTAAAGAAGTCTAAGTCTGACCAATTTAAACTCGGCTCCGTCATCTTCAGCGCAGCACCAAACAATCGCAGTTTCAAAAGAAAAAGTTTCTCGCTACCAGTGCTTTCGTAACCTGCCCAATACTTGTGCTGAGAAACAAATAGCGGCTTCCAAAAAAGTCATCTATACTTTGTGTGGATTAAGTCATTGTTGTCGTACCGGATGGTAATAATTGTTCTGAGGAAGGAGACCAGTAATGATGGTTGAATTGCATACATAGCAACGCTGGTTTCAGCACAATGGTGGGACCACTGTAGAATTGAATCAGTTCTTTTCCGAGCACAGTAGACCTCTGCAGATGTAGAGATTAAGACATGTTAGACAAACTGGCTGAGCATATTCAACGATATACTACACCCAGCGAACCCCATATGTGGGAGGCAGAACACGAAACCAGCAGATGCAACACGGATGAACAAGACACAGTCAGATATGCTTTTGGAAAGGAATTATTCCTTCTACGACTGAGCAAATAACACCTTGTAGAAAAGATGGTTAACAGTAGCAAATACGTCGAATAGCACAAAACAGAAACATTTATCTTATGCAAGCGGCTCGAGGCCATGATAACACGAAACAAGTTGAGAAGTTGCGGGAATCAGCACTCTCTCTACGAGTCTATTCTTCACAAAACGAGCCTATTCC